TTTATAGAAAATTAGCATATGATTTCATAACAAAATAAGGAGTCTTTGCAACAAATAAAAAGTAAAAAAACTAAACATCATAATAATAATATTTATTACTATTACATGAGCATTAACACATTTTATTTAATTCCATAGTCACTATACATTATTCATTATTATATATATCCTTCCTTTGTATTTTCACTATGAAAAAAATTAGAAATTTAAAAAATATTTTTGACACTAGGTGTTTTTGTAACAAAATACTGAAAGTAGTATACAATGTAAAAAACAAAACAGGCACTCAGATCTCTCACCATTCTGAAGATATTAGGCCATATTCAGTTTTACAAATCTTCATTTATTTTATTGCCTGATTCTGAGTCCTAATTTTAGATTTTATTTTATTTTATTTTATTTTATTTTATTTTATTTTATTTTATTTTATTTTATTTTATTTTATTTTATGTGAATGACTGTTTTGCCTGCAAGTATTTATGTATCCTGCACACATCTGGTGCCCTTGTAGGTCAAAAGAAGGCGTTGGAATCCCAGATATTGGAGTTATGGATGGTTGTGAGCCACCAGTGGATGCTGGAAAATCGAAACTGGGTTCTCTGCAAGAGCGGCAAACACCGAGACACCTTTCCAGCCAACCCCATCCCACATTTTAAAGTAGAAATTAACGTGGCAGTGTCATGGACTTAAGTACTCAGTAACAGCGTGGGCTTCTAGCAATCAAGGAGGAATGGGCATAGTTAACTGAATCTTTCCTGGTGGTTCCCTGCCACTTTGGTGTTTGTTTTCTGTAAACTCATTTTGATGAATTAGTGAAGCAATGGATTGTTCTTGGGAGCCTGGTATTATCAGTGGAGACTCTTCAATGATTCCAATTTTATGATTTCGATTTTTTTCTGGTACTCCCTTAGTCTTGACCTTGATTTGTTTGGGTTTGTGCCCCTGCTTCCATTTTTGTCTTGAGAGAATCCAGGGATATTTTTAATGCCTGTGAAGGAAATCTCAGTTGAATAACTTCCGAGTGATTGATTTTGACAGGGAAGTTAAGATCTTTTTTGACAAAGTCCCCACTCACCTTGTTTCTAGAAATCTTGGTTTGGTATTTGTGTGTTTCGATTTTGGTGCAATGTTCTTTTCTGGGTCTCAGCAGGACTCACCTCGGGTCTGTCTGCAGCATCTGCTTCCCGGAAGGAAGCCAGGACGGGACCCCAGTCCATGCTATTGAGTGGACATATTGCTGTGTGGGGACAACCACATGAGGGCTGCAGCTAAAGACTTCCTGCTTCCTAGAGAAGCCATGGAGACAAGCAAACTGTAGTGACAAGATTGGCAGCTTACATCTACCCTCCCTGCAGTTCTTCTCCACTTTGCAAAGCATTTTTAAAAACTTGAAACAAAAACAAGGCCAATTTGGACAATCTGCCCTTGGGATACCTCCTGATAGGCAGTTGTGGTGATGGCTGAGCTGAATGACAGCACCTTTGCCCAGCTCTCGGGAGCTCCCCTTCCCACGGCAGCTCATTAACTTCTTTCTCTTTTGCACTCACTTACTCTCTGAGGGTTTCAATCATTAGAAATGTGTGTCACAAACCTGGAGTTGCCTTCCCATTTGGGGAGCTGTGATGGCTGTTGATTTTTGACCATCTTCGCACCAACTCCAAGGCCACCTCAGGGGGGCGCTCAAGAGCACCCAAGTCTTCCTATGAGACTAAGGAATTCAACTGTTTAAGGATTCAGCAGCCATTATATACTGTCATTGTAGAATAAAAATTTAGAAGGCTAAAATGTAAAGGCTAATTGATATTTATTTCTTTTCTAATTTGTCATTTAAAAATTTTAGAAAAAACAATTTTTAATTAAAAATTCATATTTACATTTTTTAAATTTAATTTTACATATCAGCCATGAATTCCCCTGTCCTCCTCCCTCCCGACCCCCCTTCCCTCCAATTCCCCCCCATTCTCATCTCCTCCAGGGCAAAGAATCCCCTGGGGATTGAGTTCAGCCTGGTAGATTCAGTTCAGGCAAGTCCAGTCCCCTCCTCCCAGGCTGAGCTAAGTGTCCCTGCATAAGCCCCAGGTTCCAAACAGCCAGCTCATGCACTGAGGACAGGTCCTGGTCCCACTGCCTGGATGCCTCCCAAACAGTTCAAGCTAATCAACTGTCTCACTTATCCAGAGGTCCTGATCCAATTGGGGGCTCCTCAGCTATTGGTTCATTGTTCATGTGTTTCCATTCGTTTGGCTATTTGTCCCTGTGCTTTTTCCAATCTTGGTCTCAACAATTCTCACTCATACAATCCCTCCTGTTTCTCGCTAATTGGACCCCTGGAGCTCCACCTGGGGCCTGGCCGTGGATCTCTGCATCCGGTTCGCCCATCTTTGGATGAGATTTCTAGCACGACAATTAGGGTGTTTGGCCATCCTATCGGGCTTTCTCTCGACCATTGCCAGTAGTCTATTGTGGAGGTATCTTTTGGATTTCTGTGGACCTCTCTAGCATTTTGCTTCTTTCTATTCTCATGTGGTCTTCATTTATCATGGTCTCTTATTTCTTGTTCTCCCTCTCTGTTCTTGGTCCAGCTGGGATCTCCCACTCCCCTAAGCTCTCTTTCCCTCGAACCTTGCCCTTCATTACCCCTTCTCACATCCAGGTTGTTCATGTAGATCTCATCCATTTCTGTCATTGGGTGATCCCTGTGTCTTTCTTGGGGTCCTGTTTTCTAGGTAGCCTCCCTGGAGTTGTGAGTAGCAGTCTAGTCATCTTTGTTTTA